CATTATCAATTCCCAAAAAATAAGCAATTTTTATAAAATTTTTCAATTAGATTTTGTTTCCGTTAGTAAAAAATTGAAATAACTTTGCACTAGTAAAACTTTCATAGTGTAACTTTTTATATGTTATAGATATTAAGATTATGAATTTTTTGAAAATTTTATTACAGTAGGTTTTGAAATTTGTGAGGTTTTTATTGAATAAAAAATTATCTAGACTCTAAAAATAGTGTTTTAGTATAATAAAAATCTTAAAATATTATTTTATATAATCCCTCGTAATTTAATCATTTTTAAAAATATGTATTTTTTTTCTAGTGGGATTTTTGTGGTCTACCGTTATAGAAAACTATGCAATTCTGACACAAGTTCAATTATGCTTTAATTGCAATTCTAGCACATGCTTCAAACTCTCCCTCTATTTGGAAGATAACCAATTTGACTCCATGTAAATCACCAAGTTTTGTACCTCGTAGTCTATAACCAGCCACAACTTGGCATTGAGGGCTTCATATTCAGTAGTATTGTTCATTACAGGGAACTTTAGACGGAGCCCGTACTCCAGAGTAACTTAAGATGATTAATAAAATTTCAGCTCAAATGCCAAAACTTTTAGAAGCTCCATCAACATATAGTGTCCAGCATATAAGAAAAAGAGAAGAAGCTGTTGGCTCACAAAAAATAGGGATGGTGCACTCAACAATAAAATATGTAAGTACTTGAGACTTAATCTCGGGTCTAAGCCACCGACCACTTGATTAATCTAACAGATGCTTCTAATTTTTTAAGGATATTTTTAAAAGAAGATTTATATATACTCTAATTGTATGAGCCTAAAAGTTTGGACGTAATTTTTTGACCGAATAGAATAATGTCAATGTTGTTTTGTCTGTTAATGAAGCATCCCTCTATTTCGTACATGATCTTACAAAAACCTAATAAATGGGACGCTCTATAACATTTTCTTCTCAAACTGAGGCCAAACTTATAGCATATGAAGAGATAGCTAGATACGACTATACCTTTTCTCACTTTATTGGTTTTAAAAGTAGCAACAACGATGCCAACTATTTTTAAAGCTATTCAAAAGCCTCTTGACACTCAGCAGTCCATTAAAACCCTGAGCAATGAGCACCTCTCGATATCTTGAAGAAAGGCATATATTTATCCCCTGAGCGTGCTAAACAATAAGATAGTGTCACAATCCTTCCATTCAGTCTTTGAACTTCCATAATATTTCTCGAGTGAATCATATCTCTTAGTGCCTTAATCTTTTCAAAATTGTCTTTAATCTCTCGTTGGGCTACCATGAATCCCATGAATTTTTTTGACTCTTCAAAATCTTATGTAATTTTATTCTAAATTTTATTATGATAATTAGGATAAAATTTATAGTTTTGTAATATGAAATTATTAGAGGATGATATTTTCACCTCCCGATGTGATATATCATTCATGATGATGAGTTTAGCTACAAAACTAAAAATCTAAAATATATATTCAAATTATCCCAAAGAAAATATAAATGCAATGGATTTTCACACCTGCCCACAAAAGATGCAAATAGGAATTTATGTAATTTTTATTTTCAGATGTAATTTTAGATAGAAAAGTCATGTATGTGTGTGGGTATGTCAGAAGGTAGGAGGCCAAGTAGGTGCAGATCAATTAAAGTCCCATACACTATTTCATTTTTGCTTAGATTTAAGTTTTTAAGTTGTATTTATGGTAAAGCTCAGCTACCCCTTTTTTAATTTTTTTGGGGTGTATTGTAGAAGCCAACTATATTTTGGGCTTTAATTTAATATTGGTGGTTGATTATTAGTTTTTTTATATTGCTTGTGCATTAGAAATGCATGCTTTTTATGTTTTATAAACAGTTTTGCTTTGGGGTGGCTCAAATGGAGTCTTTGTATTAGGCTCTTAGGCTGTTAAATTTTCTACAAATCGAAAAAATATTTCTAAGATAAAAATAAACATATGATTCAAAATCAACCAATCTTTTCAAAACTAAATGCATGTCACTCTTAGGTCAATTTTTTTAAGAAAAACGGAATTATTATTTCAAACCAAGTCCACCTCATAGTGTCTACTAGCTAGTTTTGATTGTCCTACCCATGCATACATAACATAAGTCAACCATAAATATTTTATTTTCAACACATAGAGGAATAGTTAATTTTGCATAACCTAATATAATTCATGGTCTGGCTTGATGCCCATTTCCCTTTTGTGCCTCCCACCACTCTAGCATTCGCATAAGATCAAATTTTATAGATTTGATATGCTAAGTGGAGTATAGCTGGTGCCCCTTTCCAAAAAGGGTGGTAAATCCAGGACGGGTTGCCTAGATCCCTAGTGGGTAGGGGTGTCAATTTCTGACACGACCTGAAAACCCGACCCGAACCCGACCCGAAAAATTCAGGTTTGGGTCAACCCGTTTGTTAAACGGGTCGGGTCCGGTTTCGGATTTTTGACCCGTTTAGAAAAATGGGTCAGGTTCGGGTTGACCCGACAACCCGCAGGTTGACCCGTTTAACCCGGATCAGCCTGACCTAACCCAGTTTCCGACCCTATCTAGCACTGGAGCATCGCCCCACCTCCTCCACGCACGCTGGCGACTGGTCTCGCACGATCGCACTCGAGGTCAAGGCGTCACGCACTCACGCCGTAACCCACGCCACGCGCTCGTCGCGCTGGCCTGATGGCCTCAGACCTCGCCGACTCGCCACGCGCAGCAGCGCTAGTCCGCGACAGCCACGTAACAGTTCAACACGGGTCGGGTAAGGTCAACCCGGGAACCCGCGTGGGTCAGGTCCGGGTTGAAAAACCAGACCCGTTTGTAAGAACGGGTCGGGTTCGAGTTGACTCGTTTATGGTCGGGTCAAGTCAGGTTAGACCCGAACCCGACACGTTGACCCGAATTGACACCCCTACTAGTGGGTTTTAGGTTATAAGCCCCATTGGTGTCTTGCATTAGTTAGGTCGATGGGCATTAGTATTAGGAATAACATGCATCCATGTAGATTTAGGATCCAAGGCTGGCGATATGGGTATATCGTTGCATACCTTATTGTTGGATAGGTTCTCCATCCTACGGAGGTTATAAATCCTATATATCCATATTACACTAATGGCTTCGCTTCCATCTTTCTCTCATATATATTTGGTATGAAATGATTCCTCTCATGATTTATCCTCTTTTGACTAGCTGAGTGACTGTATGATCCTTGCAAGTTGAATATGTAGATTGAGCCTAATTTTATTTGGAGTAGGAGAGGCTAGATATTTCACAATGCATCAAATCTAGAAGAGAATAATATAATATCTCTAATCGAGAGTATTCTTGGGTCAATGCCTAAAATGTAATTAACCACGAGGCTTACACTCGTGGGAAACCAATAGTCACATTAAATAAACCCCATTTGAGTTGATGTATCGGATGGGGGCAATATCGTGACTATCGAGTTATATATATTATTATCCATTGAGATGTATAGGTGGAAGCTAATATTCTCCACAGGTAATCGTATGTATAACTCAATTTGTTATTCCAATGGATTGCTTATATAGAGTGTAAAGATTTGTGATCGTTTTGTCCTACAGAATGGTGTGATCACATACGTTGCATTCTAGCCCTTCGAGCAGCATCTTTTCAAAGACCCACACCCATCATCATTACCAAATGTGCACCTCCACAAGAAATGCCAATCATATCATCTCGCACTACCCTCAACATTCGCAACATCCTACCAATGGGGCTTGTCTTTGCATCCCCCAACCACCCCCCCCCAAAAGTGCTCCTCCCGCTCAAATTTTTATTGCTCATTTCTAACTAAATACATTCACTCAAATTTGTCCTCTTAACTCTAGAGCTATGTGAATTTTCACAGTTAACAACATATCAGCTTAGTCTTTCTCAAAATTGGTGGAGAGGTTAGGTGATCATAAAAATATTCATTAATGGCTAGCATATGTTGGTCAACAATTGTTAGGGAACATCAAAAAGCAAGCGGTGGTGGACAATTAATATAATTGTTCTCTTGACAAGATATGAGATTGAATGACAGATAATATAAACCTTGGTGCCTAACAAACATTTGTCGTTGGCATGTGTCAGACAATTTTTGACATGGGGTATTAGAAATTGTGTCAATATTGAGCATCAAACATGATCAGCATATTTATGCTCATAATAAAATAGAGATTGAGCATTAGAAAAAATTTGTTCGGCATCTCTGACCAACAATCATTAAATGTCAGACAAACTTAAAAAAAATAATAGTTATTGAATTTCATGCTCAGAAGAAGACCGTGGGCAAATCGGATCCTTTTCCATTCCATGTTCTCTGATGCTTGTCCTTCTTCCTCCATTATTAATGATCAGGAAGCTTGTCCATGCCTTCTTCTCTATTATTACTAATCAGGAAGCTTCCTCATGTATTCATGCACAATGCAATACTTACACGTCGCTATATATGTTCATGTGGTTCCATCATAGTCTTTCAGGAGTTCTAGGCCAAATGGAGCACTGCAGCCCCATTGTCCTGTTTCTACTCATTAAACTTTTTCTATTACTACTACTCCTTCAAAGTAGTAATTCTCAGCTTCTCCCCATAGTGAATGAAGTACTTGAAAACAATGGCACACAAGTATACATTATTGACGTGGAGAGACATGAGCAGCAAGAGCTCCTCACCGATGGTGACCTCGAGAGCTTTCACCGCTCATTATTACTGATGATTACCACATATAATTTCTTGATCAGGAACCTTCCTCATGTATTCAGGCACAATGCTATACTTACACATCACTATATATGTTTATGTGGTTACATCGTAGTCTTTCACGGGTTCTATGACAAATGGAGCACTGCAGTCCCATTGTCATGTTTCTACTCATTAAACTTCTTCTATTACTACTACTTCAAAGTAGTAATTCTCAGCTTCTCCCCATAGTCAATGAAGTACTTGAAAACCATGGTACACAAGTCTACATTGTCGATGTGGAGAGACATGCATGAGCAGCACGAGCTACTCGACGATGGTGACCTTGAGAGCTTTCATCGCTCATTCCTACCAAACTCCACTCTCGATTCCGGCGAGCCACGACTGGTATACTCTTATCGTCATGTCCTCAGCGGCTTCGCCGCCCGCCTCACTCTGGGAGAGTTGGAGACCATCAAGTCTAAACCCGGCTTTCTCTATGCGCAATGTGACCGCAGCTATCAGCTTGCAACAACCTATACACCAAAGTATGGTACTTTTTATTCCGTTGATTATTGTCCTGTAAAATTTGAAAGTGAGATATTAGGAGTATTTTGGGAATAATTAGAAGTAAAATAGAGAACAATTATTGTTATTATTTTTTCAATAAAAAGCTTAAATTTATGAGAAATATCAACATCATATTCCTTTTTTATAAAAATTATGAAAGATGAACTAGGCTTTTGTAGAAATTAGGTATAATTTTATTTTACATTCAGTATATTTTCTAGACAATATAAGTGGGATGACATTTAATACTCATATGTGCTTTAATAGATATCTCAGCTTAACCACATATAACGCATGGGGATCCACTATGATGGGGCAAGGCCTTATCATTGGTGTACTCGATATCGGGATAAATCCTAGACATCCTTCATTCAATGACACTAACATGCCACCTAAGCCATCTCCTACAAAATGGAAAGGTAGCTGTTATGCAGGTTTCCCATGCAATAATAAGATCATCGGAGCAAAGGCATTTAATGGAGGGTCACACTCTTCCCCTGAAGACACGGATGGACATGGAACTCATGTGGCAGGCATCATAGCTAGCAACTTTGTCAAGGATGCAAATGTTCTCGGAATGGCAAAGGGTGACCCAGCATCTGGCATGGCACCTATGGCTCATCTCTCCATTTACAAAGTTTGCTTTCCAAAAGTTGGGTGTGTCGAGGCTAACACATATGCTGCTGTGGATCATGCGATAAAAGATGGGGTGGACATTATCTCGATGTCTATTACTGGCTTCCATAATGATACGTTTTATCAAGATTCAATTTCTAGGGCTTCTATAACATCCATACAACATGGAATCATTCCTGTCTCTATAGCCGGAAATGATGATCCTGAGACAGGGACACTCAATCATAGTGCACCATGGGTGTTAACTGTTGGAGCATCAACCACTGATCGAATAATAGCTTCCACTGTGGAGCTGGGAGATGGTAGAACGTTCCTTGGAGAGTCGGCGTACCAACCAAATCATTGGAATTCTACTAAGAAGTGGGGGCTTGAATATCTCGGCACGAATGGTGACGTTAAGGCCAGTTATTGTCTGCCCAGTGAATTGGCTAAATTTAACTTAACAGGTAATCAATAATGTTGTCATGAAATCAAAATTATGATCCATACTATCTATTATTATTGAATTAATATATACATGTTATATAATATTTGGTAATTAAATAATCCATTAATTTGTTAATTAATATGAGCTAACACATGTATATTGAATCGCAGGTAAAATTGTAATATGCCAGATTGGCATAACTACGGATGAGAAGAGAGGAAAGGCGGCATACCTAGCTGGCGCGGAGGGGATGATCATAATAAACAAGCCTTCCCAAGGACACACCACTTATTCTCCTGCTCACGTTCTTCCAGCATCAAATATAGACCATCCAGCAAGATTAGAAATTTTAGACTACTTCTATAACAATCAACCCAATGCATTTGCCAGCATACACTTCAATGGCCCCCAATTCGGATTCACTCCCTGCCCCGCTGTCACATCCTTCTCCTCCCGCGGGCCAAGCCGCATGAACGGTGGAATCATCAAACCCGACGTGCTCGCCCCTGGAGTCAACATTTTGGCTGCCTGGCCAAAAGATGTTGGCCCTAACCCAAATCCATTGGCAACCCACACCTTCAACTTTGACAGTGGAACCTCCATGGCCGCACCACACGTAGCCGGGATTGTGGCATTGGTGAGGAGCAAGCACCTTGAGTGGACCCCAGCGGAGATCCTATCAGCGATCGTAGCAACCTCGAATGACTCATGGACGGATGTCGGCGATCTCATTGCTGACGATAACTCATACATAACTGCAGAGATATATGCCACCGGAGCTGGTCATGTGAACCCGATCAGGGCGATGGACCCAGGCCTTGGTTTTGGGCTCACCTTAAATGACTATATTTGATATCTGTGTGTCCTTGGGTATAATGACCAGGAGGTTACAATTACAATCGGAAAACAAACAAGTTGCAATGGGGTTAAGTATCTAACCGCGTCAGAACTTAATTACCCGTCAATCGCGATCACTTTGACTAGGTCAACGAGTAGTCAAATAGTGAACAGGACAGTGAAGAATGTGGGGGACGTGAGAGAGGACTACTCAGCTAAGATTACCGAGCCCGTCGGGGTAGAAATTTATCTCTCAACTTATAAGCTTCAATTTAAGAGGTTGAATCAGGAGGTGAGCTGCAGCGTCAACTTTGCCTTGAATGGTGCTTATCCGAGCCAAGGGAGTGACATGATAAGAAGAGGGAAAATTGTATGGGATTCAGGGAAGCATGTGGTGACCACACCGATTGCTGTTAGTTTCACATAATTTATCGGTTCTTGCATAATGCTAAATATAATAAATGTTAGAGTGTAATCAACAAATGTTCCTAACAAATATATATACATAGATCGAACTACAAAATGTCTATTTGTTGATATTTTAATTTATTAATTGGCCTCAGCAAATATGCTTACTGTCTCTCTAATATTTATCTACTGTCGGGTCTGATATGATATTGATAATACTTTTCTTTGGAGATGGTCATTATCTTTCTGAAAATTTCTCATGTGATTAATGAACAAATCCTGCACTCGAGCTTCGAGCAACTAAAATAAATCAATTAATAAATGGTCCATAAATATAATTTAAATTCCGCATCATAAATATAATTTAAATTTCTCAATCTTTTATTATCTGCATCATTGGTGCTAATATTATTTTATTATTTTTTTTTCAAAAAAAAAAAAAACAAAACAAAACAAAATAATTAAAAAGCCATCTCAAATGAAGCATAAATTAACTCACTTTAAGGTTTTATTAAGCTCTACATGACTTAAAATACAAAGTATTTATATATTTTTTATAATTTTTTTAATTTATAGAATACAACATTCACCAATCAGAACCACAATCAATTTTTAGGGCTATTAAAATAAACTCATAAGGGCTTCTATGTTGACTATAATATTAAAGCTTATTAAAATAAATTTATATTTTGTTAGAGATGTTCTTATTGGGGCGACTATTTGGCTCAACTATATCATTTTATAAATGAAATTATAAAATTAAAAAAAAATTAAGTTAATGAGAATATCTTAAATTTTTTTTTAATTGTATATTTTTTTACGGCCATCATCGCACTGTTAAATCTAATTATAAAAAAAAAAATTGATAAATAAAAATAATAATAATCAAATAAAAATATGATAAAAAACTAAAAAGTCAGTAGAAATTTGCTCCATCATATCTAGTTAATAATTAATTAATACTTGTGCTTAACAAATAAAAAAATTATCTTTGCTTGATTGAGAGAGAGAGAGAGCTTCTCTTGCTTATTCCTAAGAACTTTTAATGAAGCTATCTTGTTCATTTAATTTATCATTAAATAATTTATTAGTAAAATTCGAATTTTTTTCCTTATATATATATATATATATATATATATATATATATATAATATTTTAACTTTTTTAAATTATTCTTATATACTATTATTATTTTATTTTGTATATTAAAAAAACTTCGAAATTTTAAAAAGTTTAATTTAAAATTAAGGAATTAAGCTTAACAATCGAGTTAAGTTTGAGCTTTCTAAACAAGATTGAGCAATCGAATCTCATTGAGCTCCAGCCTAAAATTTTTTTAACAAGATGAGTTGGAGCTCAGTAAATAAACTTGAGTAAAGCTTGAACTCAGTTAGAATTAAAGGAGCTCATCTCAATTAAGTAGATACTTGATTTGACATTTACACCCCTAGATCCATGTATAGTCCTTGTAATGTTTCTATGCATTAAAGAACTAGCCCATCATATAATGCTCAATACAGGTAGGAGAAAGAGAGTGAGGAAATGTACAGAGATGAAAGGCTGTAAAATTTTACTATGCATTTTCAATGTAAAAGGTTTCCTGTATATACAACCTTCATTACAGTAGCTTTAGGAGTATATATAAGGGTGTATGCGCTGTGGTGCTTTACACATGTAGGACAGTGATTGGAACAATTATTACGTCCTCTAACCTGACGTAGAGCTACGTTCGGCCGCCAATAACATATCGCCACGTGCTCTTACTCTTTACCACGCGGCTCGATGACTTGACCCGTAGCGGAACCCACGAATGCTATGTTCGCGATTTTCTCGGTATTGCTCGGTAATTGCTCGGTATTTGCTAGGTATTGCTTTGCTCAGAATCTCAGATCGGTTCTGTTTTTTATTCCTTCTCCGGCGATGGCGACTGCATCTTCCTACTGGTGTTACCGCTGCAGTCTCTTTGTGAGGGTCTGGCCGTAGGACGCGATCGTCTGTCCTGACTGCGATGGTGGCTTCTAGAGGAGCTTGACAATTCGCCGAGCGTCGCGCGCCGGTATCTTCTTGGCTGCCGTGGGGATTTCCCAGAAAGCCAGCCTGAGCCCATCAGAATGCGTCGCCACAGGCGCAATGGAACCGGAGACCGCTCGCCTTTCAACCCTGTCATCGTTCTCCGCGGTCCTTCCGACAGCGACGGTGACCGTGATTTGCTCGGTATTGCTAGGGATTTGCTCGGTATTGCTGGGTATTGCAAGAAAAAACTAGGTACAACTCGGTATTTGCTCGGTATTGCTAGGTATTTGAAATATATCCAAAAGGTGATGGGATGTTGTTCGGCTCGTCAAGGATTTTAAAAAACGCACGTGCGAGAACCCAAAAAACAGCGGGTCGGGTCGGCGTCTTTTCTTCATGCTACATGGCGCTAAAATATTGGTGGCCGAACGTAGAGGAGCGTACGTTCACCGGACCGAATAAAAGTTCCAGTGATTGAGCGTGTTGGTTATCATCTAACGGTTCAAGGTTGAGATGTGTCAGAATGCTGCTCCACTTGTTCGTTGTGGTCAAGCTGCTGCTCAACACATGTGGAGGACGCTTTTACGCCCTTGTAAACTGATGGTAAGTTGCAAACAGTAAGTTTGGAGCGAAGAAGGTGAAACCTTGGTGTGGATAAGGGCTTTAGTGCTAACAGGTATGATGCTGATTTCTTGTGACTAAATGTGATCGCGTATGAAGTGGAAGTCGACTTCGATATGTTTGGTCCTCTCATGGAAGTCAAGGTTGTTTGCCAGTGCAATTACAGAGGTGTTGTCACAGTGGATGGTAGTTGGTTGAATCTGGGGTATGTTGAAGTCAGCTAGGAGGCGACGGAGCCATATAATGTTAGTTGTTGCAGTAGCTAGCGCACGGTACTCGGCCTCTGTGAAGGATCTAGCAACTGTCTGTTGTTTCTTGACCGTCCAGGAGAAAATGGTGTAGCGGCATTACATAATTGATTAGCAGGGATGTTCTTTCCTCGGCATTACATACTGTAAAAAAGTTCTTTCCTCAGCATTATATAATGCTCAATACAGGTACATTTGGAAAGAACAACATCCAAAGGTGGAGCGGCGAGTAGAGGTGTCATTGGCCCAGTCAGCATCCGAGTAGCATGTGAGCTGTAGAGATGAGCAGAAGATTGGAATGTCCATGTGGAGAGTACCTTTGAGACATCGAAGTAGTCGTTTGAGCATATAGAAGTGTGGAGGAGTTGGATTATGCATATGTTGGCATAGGCTGTTGACAACGAAGGAAAGGTCAGGTCGAGTTATGGTAAGATATTAGAGAGTCGGCAAGATGGTGGTAGATGTTAGGGTCGAAATTGAGAGAGTCGGTTGGGATGGTTGTGGGAGGTTTTGTGAATGATGCATTGTATAGGGAATTGCAGTTGGACATTGCAGCTTGGTGGAGGATGGATTCGGCATAGGATGACTAGGAGAGGTGAAGTTGATGTGAAACATACAGAAATTGCAGGAATTTAATAAAAAGTTGCAAAACTTTGCAATTATAACTTAATGTTTCACTAAATTAGATTTCAGGATTTCGTAGTTATTGTTTTGCTTTGGCAGGCGGTTAAAAAATAGATTAGCATGGCAATTAAAATAACAACAAAATTATAATAAAACTAAATGTGCACATAACAAAAATTCACCAGCTAACAATTAGAAAAGTCAACTTCAATTTCCCTCACTCTTCACTCTTGAGGACGGTTGGCGGAAGAATAATCTAAGCAATATTAATAATGCCACCAAAGTACAGTAAATGCTTATAGTATCGTACAATGGAAAGTAATTTCAAAGAGGAAGAAGCAAGAGGATGTTAGAGGATTTGCCACTGAACAGGAAGTAGTTGCTCATCAATGGTGGTCATCAAGGAGAAGATGATCCGATCAAGGTAGCCTTCGACAGATTGGTCGATCTCCAATTTGATGTTAAAGAAGGGAGACCGAAGAATATCTACTCGTCCTTGAAGATCATACATGAATCCATGATCGTGCTCGGGATTAGCCATTCATGAATACGGAGGCCAGTGGAGATTGGGTGTCTTCTTCCTTTGAAGGTGAAACAAGCATGAGTGGGGAGCGTAGATGAGTAGGGAGAGCTTTGGGGTGGTCGGCCAAAACTAGGAAAAGGCTATATTAATTTCATATTTCTGAAATCAATCTTGAGTGATTGATTAGAGGGATTGATTGTTGAAAACACAAAGGAAAAGAGGGGAGAGAGGTGGCTAATTATTACCTTAATTGGAATTCTTAATGAGGAAGGAAATAATTAGGGAAAGGGAGAGAGAGAGAGGGGGCTGGCCAAGAGAAGGAGAAGGGGGGTGTCCACATTCAATGAATGTGTCTAGGTGCAATGAATGTTGAAATTAGAATTAATTCCAAATTTATTCAGATTTGAGGTGATTGGGGAGAATTCCTAAAATAGGTTTTCTTAATTTGGGAAAGGTTTTAAAATTCAAATTACTTTGAATTCAAATTAGAATACTTTCCAAATCAATAGCGTGCTAATTTAGGAAACTAATGAATGTAGAGGAACATGGGGGCCGACGGCTAGGGCTTTAGGAGAGAGGGCTTAGGACCGGCGGTTAGGGGTGGAGGAGGAGGGGAAGGATGCTTGGCCGGCGGCTTCTGGGTGGAATTTGGCAGGCGGGTGGTGGGGATTAGGCCAGCGGTTGGGTGGAGGGGAATGATGGATGTCGGCTTGAAGGTGGTGGGGGGGATTTATTGGACGGCGGTTGGAAGGTCTTTGGGAAGGGAGGCCGGCGGCTAGGAGGAATGAGCTTGGTGGAGATGGCGGACCACAAACCCGGACTCTTCCTGCAGTTGGTGGGTATTGCTTTTGCCCTTACCTAGGGACTTCTCCTCTCTCTAGAACTCACCATGTTCATGAGAACAAGAATGCTGAATTTTTTTCATTAATCAGTCATCATCCAATACAATAGTAAAGCCCCTCATATATAGGCCTTAAAATAAAAAAAAAATACAAAGCTCAAATGCCCTCGGGGCTACAACATAAACTAATCCTTCCCGGGGGGGGTACAATGATAAACCAGAACATAAATATAAATAAAATACATAAATACATCATAAATAGAGACTCTGAATCATAGCTGTCAATCTACGATTCCTCTGATGATAGACGCATCGAAATCTCATGTTGATCCTCATCAGAAGTTGATTGTGATGATGTGAGATATGAATGCCAAGAAAGTTGTTGGGGGATCCGATATGTTTAATAAAGAAGTGGTGGCTTAGAGAGGAGATTATGTAGAGTAGAGTAGAAGAGCGATTGACTGATAGGAGAATGTCGTCGACGTAGATGAGAAGATAGTCTTGAATTGTGTTTTGGTGGAAGATAAAGAGAGAGGGATCGGCTTTAGTATTTTGGAACCCAATGGATAGAAGGTGTTTGGAGGTGGTGTGAAACCACTGGCGAGGAGCTTGTTTGAGGCCATATAAGGATTTTTTAAGAAGGCAAACATGGTGGGGATGATGTTGGTATTTGAATCCGTGAGGTTGGTTTCATATGAATAGTTTCATGATGGATCCGTGGAGAAAGGCATTAGTGACATCAAGTTGGTGGATATGTTAGTTGTTGGTGAATGAGATGGTGAGAAAGACACAGATGGAAGGTAATTTAGCTACGGGTATAAATGTTTTGGTGTAGTTGAGGCCATATTCTTGCTGGTGACCTTGGACCACAAGCCTAACTTTGTGGAGGGCAATGGACCTATCAGCATGGAATTGAGTTTTGTAGGTCCAACAACATCCTAATATTGGTCGGTTGGATGGAGGGGGCATTAGAGTCCATGTGCCCTATTTTGTAATGCTAGGATTTCGGTGGACATGGCAGAGCGCCAGTGGGGGTGTTTGGAGGCTTCACCATATGTTGTAGGATCGGCTAGGGTGGTTGAGACGTGGTGGTGGAGATTGAGTATTTAACGAGGTTTAAGTGATCTTGTCTTAAAGTGGGTCAGCATTGGATGAGTTTGGTGAGTGGGTTGCTAGGCACAGAGTATGTGAGGCGGAGGAGATTGGTGGGCCAATGTTGAAGAGGAGGTATCAGGCAAGGGTTGAGATGTCAGTGATGTAGGAGGGGCAGTTGTGTTTGCTACTTGATGTATGGGGAAAGTTTGAAGGGATGTTGGAAGTAGTAGATGGGGATTTGACTGGGTAGATGTGTTTGGGGAATGTAATGTGGGTATGACGGTGGAGTAAGGGAAGGTAGATTCGTCAAAGGTAACATGGCGGGAAATGTAAATGTGACTAAAGGTAGGTTCGAGGCCTTCGTAGCCTTTGTAGGAGGAAGCATAGCCGATGAATACAAATGGTGGGGATGTGATGGAGAGTTTTTTATGGGCCCATTGTTTAAAATTGCGCAATATGAGGCTCACTTTGAGACCCGCCTCAACGCAGCTCTAGCGAAAAACACCTCGAGGCTTACACCTCTAGCTTTTTTATGAGGCTTGCGCCTCAACTTGGCTGAGGCCCGCCTTCAGGCACGCCTCGCCTCGCTAGCGTGAGGCTTACGCCTCACCCTCTTTGTATATTTTTTGTATTAAAACTAACATAAATCACGCCTTCATACACATTCGAGCGCAACAACTTTCTCTTGATTGCCTCTACCTCCATCCCGTGGCTTTCGCCGTAGCCACCACTATCATAGTCGTCACCGACAAACACTTGAAAGTTGCACACAACCACTCTAAAAATTTTGGAGCATTAATCTCATATTATTGTTGATGAAAATATTTCTAAAAGAAGAATATAATTTATATAAATTAAAAAGAAGCATATTAGGAGGCATTCAACTCTACTAAATGAGGTAGCAGATAGACCAATTTGTTATGCAACAACTCGGATAAAGACAACCTCAGTGATGACAGTGTAGATAATTCCTAAGTTGTTGCCAACTATTTCAGCTTTTTTTAAGATATAAATGTAAATGAGTAGAGAATTAATAAAAAAAAAAATTTGGAGTTGAACTTGATGTTATATGATACTTTTATGCAATTTTTATATTCAATATTGTTTTACTTTTATAATATTTGAATTTAAATTATATTTCATGCGATTTATTACTTGTCACTTTAAATCTTGTGTAATTTTTTGTTTCATTTGTATTTCAATTTGTTAATTCATAATTCAGTAGAAAGTTAATATATCATCATTTAACATATTATTTAGGAATTATATAAAAAATCAATCTTGACATTTATTATCACATTACGCAATTTTTTTTATTTTGAGGCTTACGCCACAAAACGCCTTGAGGCTTACGCCTCGCCTCATGAACAAAAAACGCCTCAATACCCAACTGCGCAATTTTAAACATTGGATGGATCGTTGATGGCAAAAGGGGAAAGCAAGTGCAACCAAAGAAACGTAAGTGATCATGTTGGTAAGCACTTGTAGAGGAGTTTATGGGGTGATTTGTTGGAGGTATTGGAAGAGGACATGATATTAATTAGATATACAAGTGTTAGGAGTGTATCGAGCCAGAGAGGATATAGAAGGTTAGTTGTGTGTAGTAACGTTCTGGTGGTTTCAGCTATATGGTGATGCTTTCGTCCTGCCAATCCATTTTGTTCTGGAGTGTATGGGCGGCTAATTTGGTGTGATATGCCATAAAGTTGTTGGTAGGATTGAAGAGTATGAATTACAAATTTTGTTCCACCATCACTACGGAGGTGTTTAATTTTGAGTGAGAATTATTTTTCAACAATTGTGTGAAATTTGATGAATATAGATGGAACATCGGATTTGTACATAAGAGGAAAATCCAAGAAAAATGTGAACAATCATCCACAAATAATATGTAATATTTGAATCATTGAGCGAACACAATTAGGGAGGGACCTCATACATCGGTGTGGATTAGTTCTAAGGGTTTGTAGTTGTGATTAATGGACTTAGGAATGATAGTTTATGATCTTTTGAGGCCTTACAAGCTAAACAAGAAAACTTGGAAATAGGCATAGCTAAATTTCTATTTTGTTTTGATATTGTAGAGATAACTTGGTGGCGTGGATGACTGAGCCGGTGATACCAGTGAAGAGATAGAGAGGTTGCTACCGTGAGAGCATGTTTGCTACGATTGGTGAGAGAGGATGAGGGAATGGAGTAGAGTCCTTCACAACATGGTCCCAAGAGAAGAGTGGAGTTGGTCTTCGGGTCCTTAATGTGGAAGCCAGAGGAATCAAACAAAATGGATAAGCAATTGTCCTTGGTTAGAGTAGAAACTGAGAGAAGATTGTAAGATAATTGAGGGAGATGAAAAATATTGTGGAGTAAGAGCTTACAAGTAGGTGTTAAAAGGATATCAGGGCCGACGTGGGCTATGGGAATTGATCGACCGTCTCTGATAGTAACATTGTTTGGGCCACAATATTCTTTCGGACGGGAGATGTTGTTAATGTGGTTGGTCCAGTGTGAGGATGCGCCAGAGTCCATTATCCAGTCGTTTGCAAGATGCTAGTTCGAGGCGACCAATGCGGTGGGTGAGGTAGGTGTGATATAATTAGTGTTGAGACGGTGTTCGCCATGTGTCCTCATTTGCAGCAAATTTGGAAGATGGTACCCAGTGCAAAGGGTAGAGTAGTGTTGATGGGCTGTCGGGAATTGGTTTGCTGGAAGGAGCGACCATGAGTGTTGAATGCGTTCAATCGACCGCATCCGCGTTCACGGCCTCTATTGGAGTATAGTGCATAGTGAGTATTTAGTGCAGCAGATGCATGGGCTGATTCGGTAGAGAGGTTGATTTATTCTCTTATGAGGAGGAAGTAAAGGTCCTCTAGACTGATTGGCATTAGTTTGGTTCCGATGGAGGTTTTGAAAACCTGGTACTACAGTGGAAGGTCGTTGAGTGTGTACAGCATAATGTCTTTATTGTCGATGATTGAGTCAGCAACGGCGATGTTGTCGACTAGAGTTTTGATGTTTGTGAGGTACTGAAGCATTGTGAGTTGACCAATTGAGATGTTGTGAAGCTCATTCTTCAATTGTATGACTCTAAAACAGTTGGTGGCTTGTAGGTGATGCTCCAACATGGTCCAGATGACTCCACATGTTTCTAAGTTGAGGAAATGGGAGAGAATGCTTGGTGAGAGAGTGGAACATATAGCAACTGCAAGATTTTGGTCGAGGAGTGCCCATCTGTTATAGGCTTGGTTCAGGCTGGAGATGCCATCGGAGTCAACAATGAGGCGAGTGGGCTAGGTTGCGGTGCGGTAGAGGAAGGTGACGTAGCTGTTGGTTCAGATGAGCTTCAAAATTCGTGATCTCCATGTAGGGTAGTTGTCATTGGAGAGTTGATTGGGTACAATGGTTTGGATGTTAAAGATGAAGAATTTCAAGGATGGAATAGTGAGGTTTTCTGAGAACCTATATGAGGAGAGTTCTTCGCTGTGGGTTGAATAAGCTGCTGCCATTTTGAGGAGGATCAGGGCAATTAGCCGAGCTGCTCTGATACCATGTAAACAGACACCTGATGTCTGATCTTAGCACAGGAAACTAAAGGACAAAGAGAGTTAGGAAATGTACAGAGATGAAAGGCTGTAAAGTTTTACTATGCATTTCAATGTAAAAGGTTTCCTGTATATACAACCTTCAGTACAGTAACTTTAGGATAAGTGTGAATGTGCTGTGGTGCTTTACACATGTAGGGGTAGGGCAGTGATTGAGTGGGTTGGTTATCATCTAACGGTTCAAGGTTGAGATGCGTCAGAATGCTGCTCCACTTGTTTGCTGTGGTCAGGCTGCTGCTCAACACATGTGGAGGACGCTTTTACATACAGAGCTCAACCGAGTGATGCAAAAGCTTTCACAAAGTAACCAAGAGGTAGATGTATACTTCAAACAATCATAAGTAAACCAATCCATCGAAAAATCATTTCTCAGATTGACAAAAATGTTTATTGAGATGCAAAAAGACAATACAGACTACTGTACTAACTCTTAGCAGTTTTTGTAACACCAAATAAGAAAATATTATTAAATCTCTCTTAAAATCCTACGAGTCTGAAGTGATCACAATAGCAAGAAATACCCTCTCAAGATCAAAGAAAGTCTAAGTTTTCAACTTGAGTTCGGGATCAAAAGGCGACAAACTGCCACGATGATTGAAGATCATGAAGTCCAAATTTGACGGTAATGAGACAACCCTGTATTTTGCAGAACAAAATTAAGCAATGCATTTGGATTTTATGTATATCCAGGTTAACTAAAAGAGAAGTTTTATGGTTTCCTCATCAATAGTCCCAACGATTCCCAAAACAAAACCAGCATTTTGCAATGAAATATTTGAGAATGATATAATACACTGCACAAAAAAAAAGTAAATTTATCTGATTACTTTCATCAAATTTAATAATCCAACCGGGACGGGTAAGTAATCTGCGGGTTTTGCTTTTGATGCGTCGCCTTTCCAAGTAACATGGTTAGAAAGCAACTTGCTCTGTAGCTTCTCAAATGAATCGAGATGTAAATTGGAAGTAGGATTAGCCCAAAGCATGAAGAAAACTGGTTTATGAGTTGTGCTTGCCCATGAAAATCTTAATTACAGGCTTTATAAGCTTGACCTAAATTTAGAAGAAGCAATTGTCCAATGTTACAGAAAGCTCGTTAATTTTCTGATTTCATTGTAAATCACTTTCACACATTGATGCAGAATATGCAAATTGGTTCACTCTGCTCCCAGATGCAGATTCATTCTTATTTGTGGATGTCATTTTTTTTTCCATATGTATTACTATTTTTTTAGTAGTTGAATTTCATGCAGTTCATTCTAATTTGGATGTAATTTAACTTAGCATAAGAAGCCTTGGGCTAGAAACTTCTTCAAGAATACTCTCGTTTCATTCTATTAATGAGGAACTTGTACGAAGAAATGACTTAAGTTGAAATACAAGTGCTTCGGCAAAGAATGCCATCGCACAATTTGTGCATGCAATGCACCATCTGTCATACACTCTACACTCTATAACAATTTAGCTTGTTGGATCTCTCTTACCCCTCGTTGTTTTCATAGCACGAACTACAAATCACATCTCTACAAACACTAACATGCAGCAAATGGAATGCACCAACAAATTATGACAATCCAGCAAGCCTCCCGCAGCCCACAATAATCTGCATTCATAACTCCATATTAAAGAATTCCATATTACATTATGCTTTAAACCAACCCTCACGACAAGTTTTATTTATTGGATTAAATAATTCCATCATAAAATTCTTTAATATTCGACTAAATAAATCTGCACATCATCTTCTGCATCCCACAAATTCACAGATGTCGTGCTAAAGGCCAATCCCACTAGTCTCCCACAATTTGACATAATTTACAACACAAAATGTTGATATGTAAAATTTACAACACAAAATGTTGATATGCAAAACACTAACATATGGCGTACATTAATAGGCACATGCAAATCCTTTTACCACATCCCACGCAAACCTGCAATTCATTTTGTTCGCTCACATCCTGCTATGAAATAAAAAATTTCAGTGCCACACATTCCTCTTATAAATCTTTGACTCCAAAATTTTGATTTAACAGACATTGCTCACAGTTTTTTCTTCAAAACTAAAGGTTTAGGTGATTTATTCCAAAATCTAGTTTGCACGGTGTGATTCATTATTCACCTATAAAAAGTATTCTGTATTTGACCCACCTACGAATCATTATTGGACAAAATATTCCACTTCAATCACGAGAACAATCACATCTTCAAATAAAGTGCAGAGGAGAAACAATGTGGGTAAAAGAGTGGCCCTCTCACTTGCAGTACTTGAGGCCATGCCATATTAGTTCAATTGTGCTCTACTTTCTGGTGTATATCTAAAGTTGAATAACATAGAATGCTTTATTTTCTTGAAGCTAAATTAAAATTTATATGATCTAATTTTTATTTGTTATTTGAACCCCCCCCCCCCAACCCAACCTAAGTGCTCTTCCGACTACTGATCATAATTTCATGAGTTTTTAAGCTTTTTCTTGAATTTCCGTCTGTCTTTATTAAAACTATTACAAATCAACCTAAATACGCAGACTTTAATCAAATTTAGTGAATTTTGCAGTCAAATTCTCTGAATAGAACGCTTTTTGCGTACAATTGCTTCACTTCAATAAATTTTAGCATGCAAGTTTTATTCATAAAATTGTGGTTAGCCAAATTTTTCATACATACACTTATCTTTCTTAAAGCATCATTCTCTAACATCCTTTTTACATCATGGCTCTTGAAAAAAAATAATTAAAAGAACTTGATGATTCATCACATCAAACTGAGTCTCTTAATAATAATGTTAACGGCCAAGAAATTAAAATCAACACGCATTATACACACTTTACTCACTTATAAACTAACTTAAACAATGCAATTAGAACATGATGCTACCAAAAAAACACTTCAATTCCATCATGAGCTAATTAAAAAAAATACCACTACAAGAAAATAATGAAATGGCAATTAGATTTTTACTGAACTTTACAGTCGATTTATATGATGTCAAAATTTTTCCTATATTAGTAACTGAAAAAAATACATGTGGTAAGTCCAATACAACAACAATGAGTCTTCATCCCATTCTATCGGGCCAGCAACATGAATCCTTTTTCTCCATTGTGTCTTATTAAGAATTAAATTCTCATTTAAATATAATAAAGAAATGTCATTTTTAATACTTCCTAACCAATTCTTTTCAAGTCTACCTCTACATCTACTCTCCTAATAGAGTCATCGGAAGGCTGCACATTTTATGTGTTCAAACCATCTAAGGTGACTCTCTCTAACCCTGTCTACCATTAGAGCTACTCCAACCTTTTCACATATATATTCGTTTCACATTCTATCTTTAAGTGTAAAGCCATTCATCTACCTGAGCATTCTCATCTCTACAACACTTAACTTAATTTTATGATTCTCTAAATGGTCAACATTCTACACCATAAAGCATTGCAGGTTTATAAAATTTTTCCTTAAGTTTGAGAGGTATTTTTGATGAGGTCATCGATCAACGGTTCAGACACGTGTATCGCCGGAAGCATCGCCGATCGATGGCCACGATTCAGAGCTTATATTTTTAGTTATTCATGCATTTTCAGTTTTCAGTATTCCTGTTTTACCCTTGTGTGTGAGTGAGTTATGTTGGGGCCCCGAGGGCGATTTAGTCATTTGTTATGCTTTTTATTTACTTGTATCTCATGACCTATATATAGGGGTCATGTATCATTGTATGAGGTTAATGAATTATTGAATGAAATCTATGTGTAATTCTACTTTTTCTTGCATGAGTGCTTGAGAGAGGAGAGAGCTCAAGAGGAGCAATCGGCAATACCCACCAATCGTTGGAATAGTCCGCGATTCGTGGTTGATTCGCATATTTCGTAGTTTTCCATTTTTCTTTGTTCTTCCCTACTAAGACTTTTCCCCACCTCAACTCAAAATCTCCCCAATTAGGTGCCGCCACCCTTGATCACACCACTGGCCACCCTTGAGCCCGCCGCCGGCCACCATCAGGGATCCGACCGGCCTCCTTCCGGCGTAGCCAACCCCCGGCCAAGCACTCCATTCGTTTGCCTCGAATTTGAAAGTTGAATTTCAAATTTCGAAAACTTTCCTAATTTGGAAAGCCAAATTTAGAAAGTTTTTATGGCGGAATTCAATACCTATTAAGTGAGATTGGAGTTACTAAACCTTTGCCACATCATCATCCCTAGTAATAATCCTCTCTCAAGAGAATTCAAATCCCTCCCTCATGCATGCCGTCGGCCCCATGGAGGATTCACCTCATTGAATGCAATCAATGCCTTGGCAATTTTGGGAACCTTAATTGGAATTCAAAATTTCCCTCCTCATACAATTAAAACTGAAATAAAATCAGTTTTAATTCACTCCCCTCCTCCTTTAGAAACCGCCGGCCCCCCTCCTTGATGGATCCTATTAATGGTGCATTAATCCTCATTAATCCTCTTTGCAAATTTGAAAATAATTTCAAATTGTTCCCTCCTAATTATTAGAATCTGAAATTAATTTCAGATTTTGATAAAATCACTTGCCACCTCACTAACCTAGCCCTCCTAATTTTCTCCACCCGCCTCCTTCCTCCTCTTGGCCGAGACTCTCCCTCTCCTTGGAGATCCCGCCGCCTACCCCTCCTCTCCTTGAAGAAATCTCCACGCCAAGCATGTATGGCGGATCCGGAGTTTGAGTGGGGTATAGTTTTCCAAGCCGACGGAAGCGTCGACGTCCTACGATCACCTTGCTTTGACGTCGGATTCGAAGACGAAACCACTGTGGAGGAATACTTGGATAGAGTCGTGCCAATCCTTGCAAGCATCTACGACCGGAAATTTGCAAAGCACACTTGGAGTCTTGAAAGTCCGGCATTCACGCCCTTCTCGTCATCGTCGACTCCTCCGTGGCTCAAGACTCTTGGCATCGCAACCTTCTTCATGGCATCGTTTGGTGTGCTGAAATTCTTCTCCCGCAAAGCCTAGTCTAGTTGAGTGAGTATTTCCCCAAGGTGAACTTCTCGTTATTAAATGACGGATTTTTGTACTAGCTTTTAGTGTTGCTTTTATTGTTGGTTGTCCGAAGGTTTTGGTTAATCTACATGCTTCTTCGCCTAAGCTAGTTGACAACTACGAAAGTTTAATGATTTTCTTGCTATCGCCATGAGTTATTAATTGTAATTTCTTTGCCAACTCAATTTTAATTTCCCACGCAGCTCCTTGCATTTAGTTTTACATCATATTTTTCTACCACACAATAGACCTGATGCATTCGTCCACTTCAACCATCCAACCTAAATTCTACTAATAATCTCCCCATCTATTTCACCATCGCTTTGAACAATGGACCCGAGATATCTAAAAAGTGCACTATTTTTTATGACTTGATCACCCAATATCTAAGACATATTGGTAACTCAAGCATGCTATTCTCAGTTTCTATATGTATGCCCCAAAGATATAGATCAAATTTAGTACAGTCAACAAAAAAGAAACCATAAAATGAATGGCATATCACACCAAAATCCATATGAGTAAATAGTTAAATGTTTTGCCCTAAGTTGACTTTCCATATCACCAAACACCATAGTCCATATTGGTATTAGAAATGCACTGCATAAGAGTATACAAGAATCCTTTAAA